TTGCCTAAAGAGATCGCAGGAGAGGCAAGCGGGCGGATCACTCATTCCATGACCAGCGGGGACCTGGTGATAGGCAGCCCGGAGCCAATATGTCACTCCTTGCAAAAATGGGGGACTGGCAGGTAAATACGATTCCTCTATTCCTTTCACTTTCCTTTTCCTTCCTTCTTTCTTGATGCAGCTTTTTTTTGGGGGGGGGGTTGTAATTTAAGGAAGAAAAGGGAAGCATGAATCCTGGTCAGCAGATTGAGCAGCCAAACTACTACCCTTAAGGGCAATGTCCCAAAGGGAAAAGGCAATCTGATTAGGACACTACATCGCTGACTCTGGTGACCTTTCAACAGGTGGGGAGAGCTGGTTGGCTCTTTACAGAGAGAGAGAGAGAGAGAGAGAGAGAGAGAGAGAGAGAGAGAGAGATCTGCTTAATTAAAAAAGGAGCAACAACCGCCATAGACAGCCATAGCTTCCTCTCTACAGCAATAAGCCATCTGCACCACACTTTTCAAAAGGAAACTTCTTGTCTGGGACAGTTTGAACTTTTGAGTCGGTTGGTTTGCTGGTCCTTTCAGTATGGCTTTATGGAATCAATTACAAATGCCAAAACCTATTTTAAAAAGAAAATTTTTACACCTCCTGGGCCAAAGTCCGCTGTAAAGCCTGTGTGGATCTACATGTGTGCATGTTTGTGAGGGAGGGAAGGACAGCAGGAGAGCAATGCACAAAGGTATTTCCAAAAATGTAAGCACCAAGTTAACTTCTCCAGCACAGGGTGGGAGAAAGTTAAAAGGTGTCAGGAATGTCCTCAGAAAGCGAAAGCTATTCTGCTTCAGTTAGGCCTTGCAAGGCTGTTGCATGGACGGTGCTCCTCACAAGTTCAGAGCTACCATCCTTCTGGCGGGGGGGGGGGGAAGCTAAACAGCCCCCGGTATCCACCAGTGGTCCCTTTCTGACAACATGTTGAAGAGGAGAGGAGAGGAGAGGAGAGGAGAGGAGAGGAGAGGAGAGGAGAGGAGAGGAG